GTCCCATGTGGGGCCGGGGTATGGCTGGCCCTGGGGTCTGGGGGGTGGCTTAGGGGAGGCAGGGGATGGTGCACCTGAGAGGATTGCGGTAGGCAGTTGCAACACGCCGCCGTCCTGGTATCGCATGGAGAACCGGTGCCGGCATTTCCTCCCTCGTGCCCTCATAACCGAGCCCCCCTCACCCCGTCCCGCCCGCCCGGCCCCCCTTCCCCGCGCCCCCGCAGCGCTACGGCTACCACGACGCCTCGTGCTTTGGCCACGCGCTGGAGGGCAACCTGCACCTTGTGTTCAGCCAGGTGCGGCGGCTGCGCGTGCTGTGCGCGCCACACGTTTTGCACGCACTCCCCCTTCTCCCACACCCCCTCCCCCTGGTTATGCTGGAGCAGGGCGCAGTTGCCCAGGTGTCCGCTCTCTCACAACCCCCCTCTCTTATTGCCGCGCCAGCAAGGCCATTCCAAAAAACCGCGGCAAGCATCCCCCCCTCGCCCCGCGCCCGCCGTGTTCCCAGGGCCTCTGCAACCACATATGGGGTGCATGTGGTTGCGGAACCTCCCAACACACACACAACTAACACCATCCCCTTCCCCCACGCCTACCCTGCTGCCCCCAGGGCTTCCGCAACAAGGAGGAGGTGCAGCGGTTCAGCAACCTGATGGAAGAGATGTGCCACATCGTGGCTAACAAGCACAGCGGGTCCCTCAAGGGAGAGCACGGCACCGGGCGGTGAGGGGGCACTCGCACACACACACACACACACACACACACACACACACACACACGCACGCACGCACACGCACACGCACATGTGCGCGCGCGGGGCCTGTACTTGAATCAGGGGTTTGCAGCAAGGGAGGCGCAGCGAGGGCGGCAGGGCCTGCTGCACTCGCCACCCGCCCTCCACGGGCGGCCGGGCAGCACAAAGGGCTTGCGCTCGCTCTGGCTGGCCGTCGCAACCTTCCTGACCCGCTCTCAGGCGGCCCAACACCGCCCCCCCCTTGCTTGGCATGTTCTTGCCGTTCGCGCCTTTGCTGACCCTTTCCCTCAACCGGCCGCAACCTCCCTTTGCGCCTTGCCGTCGCTGACGAGCAGCAACGTGGCGCCCTTTGTTGAGATGGAGTGGGGCAGCAAGGCGTACGAGCTGATGTGGGAGCTCAAGGCCATGTTTGACCCCGACTTTGTGCTTAACCCGGGTGAGAAAATCTGGGTGTTGACCGGGTCAAAACTGAAATTCGCGGAGGCAGACGCGAGCTGGGACGAGCCTGCATGTGCGTGCGCGCGCGTGTTCAGAGGCGTGAAGGTGGATGCGTGTGGCCGAGCCCTGCAGCCCACTACCCACCCACCCTGCTGAAGGAGTGTGGATGCGCACATCCTCTTATTTAGCGTCCCTCCCCCCTGCTCAATGATCAATGAATGACTCACCCCTCCTCCTCACCCCCCCCCCCATGTTTCACATCACTAATCAGGCGTCATCCTGAACCGCGACCCCGACGCCCACAAGAAGTTCCTCAAGCCCTCACCGGTGGCGTCAGACCTGGTGCGGCCCGGTCCCACTGTACCAACAGCATACCGATCCGCCAGAATCGCCAGGGTTGGGCGTGCAAGTTTGCAGATGGGTGGGAAATGGCAAGGCTGGCGCAGCAGGTGGCTGAGCGCACGCGACACTTGGCACTTCATGTCAAGGCCCAAGTCTTGGCTGGCTGGTATCGGGGAGGAAATGCCCTGTCAACCAACAGCTGATAATTCAACACCTTGATTTTGTGCCGCCGCCCCTGCAGGTCAACCGCTGCATCGAGTGCGGGTTCTGCGAGTCCAACTGCCCCAGCCGTGACATCACCCTGACGCCGCGGCAGCGCATCGCCACGTACAAGGAGATCAGCCGCCTCAGGGGGCTGCCCTCCAGGACGGCCGAGGAGACCGCCAGGTGGGGGGCGCAAGGGGGTCGGGCACTCGCACGCAAGCTTTGCATTTTACGTATGGGCGGGTCGGTAGCGAGTGTGTGCGGCGTGTGTGCGTGCCCGTGCGCGTGTGATGCAGTCGGCGCCCTGCCCAGTCCCTCAAAATCAACTTCGCACCACACCGGTTTGCACCACATCGGCCATCTTCTGAAGCAACCAGCCCCACTCCTATGTTCGTGTTTGGCACGGCAGCCCCTTACTCCACCGGGTGCCTCGACATATTCCCTTGACACAACCGCATACGCCGCCTCCTCCCTGCCAGGCTGTCATCTTTTGAGAAGTCCTTTGAGTATGACGGTAACGCGACCTGCGCGGCGGACGGCATGTGCCAGGAGAAGTGCCCGGTCAAGATCAACACGGGGGACCTCATCAAGAGCCTGCGCTCCCAGGTGGGCAGACCCGGGCCCGTGTTTTTGGGCAGTACATGCAGACAGCCGTGGCGGATCCTTATGCGACGGGTGGTGTGGTCACTAGCTCTCAAAGAACGACAGGGGGGCAGGGCAGTGATTGCGTGGTGGACGGGCGGGCGGAGGGTGCTGCGGATGGGCCGGGAGCGGGCTGTGTGAACATGTAGGATATGGCGCGCAAAGATATGTGCAGCATGGCCCTGTCGCCTCCGCAGCCTCAGCTGGTGCAGCGCCCGCCAAAGGGAGACCCTCGACCCTCAACCCTTGGCAAAACACCTGTGCCCTCGTCCCCGTCTCAGGAGCTGTCCCACAGCGGCGCCGCGACGGGCACGGGCATGTGGCTGGCGAACAACTTCAGCCTCATCAACAGCAGCGTGCCCACCCTGCTCAACGCCGTCAACGTGGCACACAAGGTCGGGAAAACCCCTGATCTCTTACATCAAACAAAGCGTGCCCGCCCGACCTGCCACGGGGGCCTCTGCAGACACCGGCCCTACGCACTCACTCACTGAATGATGGACTAAGGGTCGTCAGATTCATGGCTTTTGACCCCCTTGGGCCCGGCTGAACCTTCTTGTTCCAGTCAGCCAGATCCTGCTCTGGCTCCTGCGCCAGCCCCATGGGGCCCACCATTTGAGCGCCACGTGCCAACCGCCAATTGTTGACCGCCGACCGCCCAACCGCCGCAGGTGATGGGCCCCAAGCCCCTGGAGGTGGTCAGCCGCTGGATGAACAAGATGACGGGCCACTTTGTGCCGGTCTGGAACCCCTACATGCCCAAGGGCGCCTCGCCGCTGCCGCAGCCGGCCGCGCCCGCCGCCGCGACGGGCACCGACCAGGTGCGCTCGCAGGGGGATCCCCTTGCGACGCGCGGCTTTGGTCGGGTTGTGCGGAGCCGCCGTCCGCACTTGAACACCAGCTTCGCTGCGTTCATGTGCATGTCGTGCTGGGCGTCTGTATCATGTCGACTGCCTGTGCGGGCGCCTGACAGTTGTGTCATGTTCATCCTTCTTCAGCCACTTTGTTCCGTCCCTGGACCCTGCAGCCCGCCCCCTCCCGCTACCCACCAAATCCCCCCCCCTCTCAAACACACACACACACACGCACACACGCACGTACACACACACGCACACACACCGCACACACACACACACACACA